TCACCTGTATATATATATAAATATATAACATTTTTTAAATTATATTTATTGATTTTTTTTATACATATACCTGTCTGGATGATCTGAGAAAAAAAAAGCAGTAGACGCAGAAGTGACACAGAACACCCACACAGAGAGAGCGACGGCCCATTTACACAACTCCATTAACACAAAGCACAAAGACTTGACACAGCCATCACTCACTGAAGATCTGAGGACCGGAGACACGTCGTCACCTCAGGACTAATGGCTTCAACAAATGTCAGAGGTCAAAGGTCACGAGTGGTGTTAGTAAACAGAGACCTGCTCGCCGATAGAGATCTGATTTATGAAGGGCACATCCAGCCAGTGTTGTCAAAGTTAAAGTTTCGGACACTATTTATTGGGCCGCTGAGACACGTCACCTGTCTCACACTGATGATGTCGTCCCGTATGCCCGACCCGGATCCGCACGGATCTAACGGTTCTTCTGGATCTCCAGTTTTGGTTGAGCGCTACAGAAACTGAATCCACGTGAGAGAAAAACCCCGGGTAACTTTCAGTCCTTCATCACAGACACTGGAGTCTGACATTACAGCTCTGTATGGGGCAAACATGGAGGACATGCGCTTTACTCTTCTGTGACACACTACAGCTCAAACGTTTTAGGTCAGTGAGTTTATTTTAATAACTTTTATTCAGTAAAAGCACATTAAACTGACTGACAGTTATAGAGAACACATTTATAATGTTACAAAATATTATATTTCAAATTAATGTTGTTCTTTTGAACTTGAAATGAAATGAAAATGTTTGTTGAGCATCAAATCATATATTATAATGATTTCTGAAGGATCATGTGACACTGAAGACTGGAGTAATGATGCTGAAAATTCAGCTTTGATCACAGGAATAAATTACATTTTAATCTATATTCAAATAGAAAACAGTTATTTTGAATAGTAATGATATTTCACAATATTACTGTATTTTTGATTTGGTTTTGATCAGCCTTATAGTGAGCATTAGACAATTCTTACTGACCCCAAACTTTTCATTCACTCACGATATAGACATTCATTCAATCTGTGACCGTGATTCAATGCTTTAGCAGATAATTAAATGTCTAGAGATCATAATTAATAGCATGATGGGTATAATTATTTTCTTTAACTACTATTCTGTATTTATAGTTGATTTTAGTAAAGCATTTAAATTGAAGTGTGAGTATGTATTTTATTCATAATTAAAAAAAAATGTCTTGTGTATTGATCTAAAAAAATATTTCTATAGAAAATATACTTTATCTACATTATAATCATTATAATGTAGACTATGCCTATATTATCCAATATCATCACTTTTCACAATCCAATCAAAATCCTGCTCTACATTAATTCCTGCTGAATATTTCACTCAAAATCAAATTTGTTTCAAATGTTTTTAAGGCCTAACAGTCTTTAGGTTCTGATTGATTCAGTTTTAACGGCTTTAATGACCTTTAACTCTTGAGATGGAGGTTCTTGAACAGCTTCTGGTGAAACTCTCTCTTTACCTGACAGGAAGTCCAGAGAGAAAAACAGACCCCATTAACCTCGTTACTGAGTCCAGTGTCAGGGTGATTAGTCAAGCACTGTTTAAGAGGGTGTGAAGTGAACCCCCCCAACCCCCCAACACACACACACACACACACACACACACACACTCTCTCTCTTACACTCACTCTTACCCTCACTCACTCTCACACTCTCACACTCACTCACTCTCTCACTCACACACACTCACTCACTCACTCACTCACTCAGTCACTCACTCACTCTCACACTCAGTCACTCACTCACTCACTCACTCACTCACTCACTCACTCACTCACTCACTCACTCACTCACTCACTCACTCACTCACTCACTCACACACACTCACTCACTTACTCACTCACTCACTCACACACAAAACATTTGCAAATATAGCAGCGTTTCCATCGAGTGAGTCGAAGAGAACAAAATCGTCACTTCCTGATAAACTGGTGCTGAATATCACTTAGAAAAGTAAGAGAAGCCACTGTATATAATAATTGTCATATATAGTATAATAAATTACTTCCATCTCAGGGCGCGATAAACGCAATAACGTGTTACCTTGCTTTCTGAGCTCTCACCGTCTTGTAAGACAGTTCTGGGAGGTTATTATACCGAACCACTTTGACGACAGACTTTGCTCAGGCGTTTCAGAGCAACCAAAACAGCATTTCAGACGCTGAGCAACGGGATCGGTGCGCTGGTTGGTCCAGTTATGCCGTCCCATCGTGCAAAGTCACATGTGTTTCCATAGTCTATGCACACGTTTTCTGATCGGATAAAACATTTATCCGACTCAAACGAACGCATATATTTTTTATGCGATATCCCAAAATGTGTATAAAAAGAGGTGGATGGAAACATAGCTATTGACACAAAGCAATCTCCTTACCCTTTCCCTAAACCTACCCATAACCAAATTATAATCTTATCCTTAAAGCAACACCAAGTAACCTTTCCTCTGCGGTCGCCCTTCAGATTGTAAATAATTTAGCCTAGCGCAACCGACTGTCGCACGCACGCTCGCTGTTTATCCACCACCGGCTTTGGAATGAACGATGTCCACAGACAAGGTAGAGTATGTTGCATGATTTCATGAAAGTATGATGTATTGCGACATCAGAAACGAAGAAAAACAAAATAATGACTATTGTAACGCTTGACGTAAAGCAAGTCAAATTTGTAGTTTTCTTATGTCTCATTAGAACTACAGAAACGCGACCCTATCTGGCAATCTTACATAGCGTGGTTATAGCAGATATAGGACCGCAAAGCGAATCCAGAAGTGTCTTTCACCCTGTTACGACTTAATGAACCACTGAAACGATTTTGGAAACATTATTTTAAGGTAAAAAATCTTACTTAGTGTTGCTTTAATACCAAGTCTTGACCCTCAAACAGGCCTTTAAAAGGGTCTTAAAAAGTGAGGACCGGCCAAAATGTCCACAATTTACCCTCTTTGTCCTCACTCCGATGGTCTAAAACTCTAACTGGTCCTCACAAAGATAGTTGTACATACACACACGTTGGGTTTTCATGCTTCACGGGGACTTATCTATAGACGTAATGGTTTCTATGAACAAACTGTATATTCTCTCCCCTTACACTAACCCGACCCCTAAACCTGCCCATCACACAAAATTTTCTGCATTGTTAAATTTTCAAAAAAACATCACTTAGTCTGATTTATAAACTGTTTTCCTCATGGGGACCAAAAAATGTCCCCGCAAGGACAAGGATTTCAGATTATTCCATCTTTAAGGGGACATTTTGTCCTAATAACATAGTGTTTATCTGAACAAACACACAGACACACACACACACCCTCCAGGAGTGTAAGAGGAGATGAGATTAGCTGATACTCATCTCAAGACAAAAAGCGAGTGACGTTCTAACTGTACATCCTCCCACACATCCGAGAAGCTTCCATGAATTCAAACATGTTCCTGGCGGAGCACTTCCCCAGAACAGGCACACAACGATACAGTTTTCTCCTTTGATGCTGGAACAGTAACAATGAGACGGACTGACAGCATCATATTCCACACGCACACAGATACAAACACAAACATGTAGAAACAGGAGAAATGAAGAGGTAAAATCAAACACCTGAGATGTGATGTCATTCGCATTTACACAGGTGTTCAGTGTGTTTGTGTGTTTAAGACATTTAATTTAGGTAATTGCATAAGAGGTAGTTAACATATAAGAGAGTGTGTGGTGTGAGTTTGTAAAGCCTGAAGGTGTTGCATGTCTATGTAACAAGCAAAATATTAATATCAAAATGTAGGTTACTTTAAACAACATTAAAAAAATAATGTCAGAAAGATATCAGTTCTGCTGTTGTTCATAAATACCAGTTAGTGTTGTCAAAAGTACCAACTTCGGTAGTAAATCGTCACTAAAATTAAAAAAATGACACCAGCATTTCCCCTTAGCATTTTGAGCGCTGTTGACCGGATCCTTAAACACCTCTGATTGGACATTGTGTTCATGCGCTCAACATATATGTCTCTGATTGGCTACAATGATCAACACTTCAAAAACATGTTGTAAATAGACGCTCTTCACCGAGCGCTTATACACATAAACACAGGAGTGTGTGAACGTAGAGGTCTATCAGCGACAGCGTATATATTAGAAATCCGCTGATAGACGCCTGCTTTCAAATGTTCCTGTCTGTATCCGTGTAAGCGCTCAGTGAAGACAACGTTTTTGAAGCGTTGATAATTGTAGCCAATCACAGCTGAGCGCGTGAACAAAATGGCCGACTTGGTATCGCGGTTTATTGACAACCCTAATACCAGTAGTGATGTTGTACAATGTGGATGTTGTCATGTCACCAGAAATAGTGTCATCAGTGTCCCAATGTGTAGTGAGCCTGTCCTTAACAGTGCATGAATTCGTGTACAAGATATACTGATTGACGACGTAGGAAGATAGGAGCTGTGTCTGAAATTGCGAGATGGTCCTCACTGCAGAACACGAAATCCAGGGGGAGGAGTTGGTTCCAGATCCAACTCCTCCCACCTTACATATACCTAAACCTACCCATCTCCGCCCCCTGATCCCTAACCCCACCCCTAATCCTTATCCTACCCATCTCCGCCCCCTTATCCCTAACTCCACCCCTAATCCTACCCATCTCCGCCCCCTTATCCCTAACTCCACCCCTAATCCTACCCATCTCCGCCCCCTTATCCCTAACTCCACCCCTAATCCTACCCATCTCCACCCCTTAGATCTGGATCCAACTCCGCCCCCTGGATCTCGTGTACTGCAATGAGGTGCTACTGGAAATCGCTCCCTATCCACTATATAGTGCACTATATAGGGTGTCGACCATTTTGTAGTGGTGTCCGAATTCTGAGTGAACGACATCATTCCCTACATTCGCTCACTACTTTTACCCACAATCCTCTCTGATTTTGAGTGTACATCCGATGTACACTTGCTGAAGCACTATTTCCCAGAATCCAATGCGTAGAGGACTGAGCGTGCTGAAAGTGCAAATAGATGAATGTTAAAATTAAAATGAACTGATATTAATAGGGTAAATGATATAGGTATATATATATATTTTTTTATTAAAATATATTATTTAGGCATTAACTCAATTTGATGTGTTTTACTATAAGCCAGGTGTTTTAATAATTTGTGGCATTGTTGTTAATTCGTTAAACTGTAAGGAAAGGGTCATAATTTGGTGGATGATTTAAAAAAATTAATTAATCATCTGTTCATTCGAATGTAATCATAACGGTCGCCCGAGGGTGCTCGACGACCACGTCATCTGTGAGCGTGAGTTTCTAACAATTTCAATCGATGAAACTACAAAGCTGGCACGGAGGTATATATAATTACAAAATAAAGTCATTATAATTGTTATTGTTGTTAATATTATTTTATAAAGTAAGTAACGTAAGATAAAAGTAGTTTTATCACTACGTGTGACGAAGCCGTTTCTGCGACAGCTCCAGCTCTCCGACGCACAGTGTAACCGTCAGCGTCCGAATTCACTCACTTCATTTCATTCACTCCTTGCAGATATAGTGCACTCAAATGCCATACACTATATAGGGATTAGTGAATGAATGAACGAGTGAGCGGTTTCGGACACAGCCAGGGAGTTGGTTGAGACACACCCACAGTTAAACCTGGGCTGCGTCCGAAATCACTGTCTCTTGACTAGGTACTTGTTTTAAATAAGTAATTACTTCACGGCCGCTAAAAAAGTAAGTTCTAGACAGTATGAGTGTGTGTAGTCAGAATATAATCTGGACGTACTAGATTAACCATGCTGTCACTGTCATGTGACCTACCAGCGTCAGTTGAGTCGCTTCACTGTCATTAACAAATCCTCTCCCGTGGCCTCATGGGATAGTAAAGTATCCATCATATGCACACTTCAGAATCTCGCCGGAAGTAGTACTACTTTTTGCTTACTCTTTTATGAGTACTATGAATTCAGACATACTTTTGTCACAAACTGTTTTTCACCTACTATATAGTACAGAAGTATGTGATTTCGGTAGCAGGCATTGTGAAAAAGGAGAAATGAGTCTGAGCTCTCACCGACAGACGGCGCTCTCTGGTGGTGTGGAGGACACTCCAGCGTTCCCTTCTGCGTGCGGCCAAACATGGAGGAATAAACCGCGATTTGCATCCCCGTCTTACAGCCCAAGCGCAACCGCTCCCCTTCACACACCACTTTACTCTTATACTCATCTGGAGAGAGAACACACACACACACACACACGGTCATGATGAAACGCCATTCAAAAACCATTTTACTATATAATACTATATATTAAAACTAGGGCTGTGCAACTATTAATCGCGATATATAATATGAATTATATATAAATATATATACATGCGAATATTTCTTAAATAAATACATGCATATGTGTGTATTTATAAATACAAAATTATTACAGTACACGCACATATATTATGTAAACACAAACTTTCATTTTGGATGCGATTAATCGCGATTAATCGTTGCACAGCTTAAATAGAAAACTGTTATTTTAAATTGTAAAAATATTTCACAGCATGACAGTTTTTACTGTATTTTGATCAAATACAGATTTCAAAAGTTTGGAATAATTAAGATTTATTTTTGAGGTGTAATGTACTTCAAAACGTCTTGTAATCCTCAGAGGCGTCTCTATGGTTTTGTTGCTGGAGTAATCCTGTCTTGTATTTACTACTACATGACATGGGTGAGTTGGTGGGCGGGGCTAAAGAGGCAATGATGTAGAAGTAGGCGTCGACCTTTTTCTGCAGAGGCGGTCTTTCGTCAAGCTATGACATCATAATTTGACAAAATCCGAAACGAGACGTTTTCTGAGCTTGGTTTCAATAAAAGCTGTTTTTGGACTAACGAGGAAGTTTTGAGTTATTTTTAACAAGTAATTTCCATTGTCTTATATGTCAAAAGATCAAGGCGAAATGTATTTCTCAATTCATGACCCCTTTAAAATAAGTCTCTTCTCCTCGCCAAGGCTTCATTTATTTTATAAAAAACACAGTAAAATTGTGAACTATTATTACAATTCAAAATAACTGTTTTCTATTTGAATATATTTTAAAATGTAATTTATTCCTGTGATGCAAAGCTGAATTTTCAGCATCATTAAGCCGTGACTTTCACACACTCTGAAGCGTCTTTTTTATAAACATAAATTCAACATATAACAAATATAATAAACCTACTGTAAAAAGTAAAAATATACAATGTACTTCACTATTACTTTTTCAATGCAGCCAAGAGGTCAAGCCGTGGCTTTCTCGATCTTCTATTGGTCACACGTCTTGACGTGATACGAATTTGCAGGTCAGAGTTCACCAAACTGGAACGCAGCGAAATGTGAAACTTCTTCGCATGAGCTTGTGTTTCCTGTCTCCCGCACTCGCATGCTTATAAATGGAAATTAATGAAACAAAAAGTGCAGTGTGACCATTTACTCCAGTGTCACATGATCCTTCAGAAATCATTCTAATATGATGATTTGCTGCTCAAGAAACATTTCTGATAACTAGCAATGTAGAAAACAGTCATATTTTTGTGGAAACTGTGGTACACTTCTTTTGACCGGTTTGGTGAGCATAAGGGTATAAAAAATATTTAATTTTTAGTACTTAAAAAGTAAATAGTGTCCATTTTGATTGCAACAAGATTTTAAAATGAGCTTGTGTGTATCAAGTAAAGTCACCTTTATTTTTATAGAGCTTTATTCAGTAGAGATTGGGTAATAAACAGGAAAATAACAGAATCAATGAAGCAAACTTCAAAAAATATCCATCAATTATGGGTCAAATTCAAATTCAGCTGGCGATAGTGTCATTATTCAGCTCAAGCCAGTTCAATAACGGTGTCGATGTTTCAAGATTCATCAATTATGAAACTAACTTGATTCTATAAGCAGCTCTACAGAAGACAATAGTGTGATATTCAGCTCAATTCAGTGTGTGTCTGTATCCGTAGAGCTTTAACACACACAGTGACCTGTAACTGAGGTGCAGAGGTTTATTTATCAGACCTGCATGAGAGGAAGGACAGAAGCGGACAGACTTCTCTCTGCTCGACTAACAGAACACAAAACCTGCTGAAAGCAGCCAATAGAGGAGAGACGTAGCCATTTGGCTGAGTGGACGTGTGTGTGTGTGTGTGTATACATTTACCTACTTAAAGGAGAACTCCGGTGCAAAATGAACCTCGGGTGTAATAACACATTGGTACAGACTAAATCGTTCCCTGAGATTTGTTTTCATGATAATCGAATGTAAAGAGTTTTATCTCTAAAAACAGTTTAGCTTATAACGCTAGTATATTGGGCATCGAGTAAGCAAAAAGAGATCGCTAGTTAATACCATTAACAAGGCTCAAATTAGCCCCACACTAACACGGCAGCATAATGAGTGTCCTTACATGCAAATCGAAGCATTGAGAACTTTGTAAGTGGATAGACAGTTTAATAAGAAGATACTTTACACAGACAGTACAGTTAGCGCATACAGACAGCAGCCATCTTGGAAAACAGTCTCGATCAGTCAAACCACGAACACGGTGATACGTGAGCTGAACTGTGACTTGGAATCTCATATGGTCCGTTGTTTCCGGAAGAAAGCACTGAGCGCATAAGAGAAGCACTGAACGCAACAGAGAAAATAAAAAAATAAATATAATTTATCTTATCTTCAATATCTACACGTACTGTTCGCTCACCTTCGTGGTTCGATTGATCGAGACTGTTTTCCAAGATGGCTGCTGTCTGTATGCGCTAACTGTACTGTCTGTGTAAAGTATCTTCTTATTAAACTGTCTATACAGTTCTCAATGCTTCGGTTTGCATGTAAGGACACTCATTATGCTAACGTGTTAGTGTGGGGCTAATTTGAGCCTTGTTAATGGTATTAACTAGCGATCTCTTTTTGCTTACTCGATGCCCAATATACTAGCGTTATAAGCTAAACTGTTTTTAGAGATAAAACTCTTTATATTCGATTATCATGAAAACAAATCTCAGGGAACGATTTAGTCTGTACCAATGTGTTATTACACCAGAGGTTAATTTTGCGCCGGAGTTCTCCTTTAACTATATTTTGGTGACAAATTTATACCCAGAATTTAGCTAAACCTGACAAAAACTCCTTAAACCCTTTTTTGGGGACGTCATCATTTGTAAACAAGTTTTCTCTTATGGTTAGGGTGTGGTTTAGGGTTAGGTTCAAGTATTTATAATTAGCTGCATATAAAAACAATGGAAGGCTATACAATTTTCCCATTTAGATAGCCAAGAAAACGTGTGTGTGTGTGTGTGTGAGAAACTCACTCGGCCTGCACTTGTACCGCACACTGAGGTATTTGCTAATGGTCGGGCAGGGGTCCGTCCCAAACAAACGACTGTTGACAAGAACCTCACATCTCCGCCTGTCCTCGCATTCATCCAACATCTTCTGCAGACAGACAGACAGACACAGAGAGTCAGACAGACAGTCACAGAGAGTCAGACAGACAGTCAGACAGACAAACAGAGACAGACACAGAGGCAGACAGACAGACACAGAGAGGCAGACAGACAGGCAGACACAGAGAGGCAGACAGACAGACAGACAGTCAGACAGACAAACAGAGACAGACACAGAGGCAGACAGACAGACAAACAGAGACAGACAGACAGTCAGACAGACAGAAAGTCAGACAATCAGACAGACAGTCAGACACAGTCAGACAGACAGACAGTCAGACAGACAGAAAGACAGACACAGAGAGGCAGACAGACAGACAGAGACAGACACAGAGGCAGACAGACAGAAACTCAGACAATCAGACAGACACAGAGAGTCAGACAGACAGTCACAGAGAGTCAGACAGACAGTCAGACAGACAAACAGAGACAGACACAGAGGCAGACAGACAGACACAGAGAGGCAGACAGACAGGCAGACACAGAGAGGCAGACAGACAGACAGACAGTCAGACAGACAAACAGAGACAGACACAGAGGCAGACAGACAGACAAACAGAGACAGACAGACAGTCAGACAGACAGAAAGTCAGACAATCAGACAGACAGTCAGACACAGTCAGACAGACAGACAGTCAGACAGACAGAAAGACAGACACAGAGAGGCAGACAGACAGACAGAGACAGACACAGAGGCAGACAGACAGAAACTCAGACAATCAGACAGACACAGAGAGTCAGACAGACAGTCACAGAGAGTCAGACAGACAGTCAGACAGACAAACAGAGACAGACACAGAGGCAGACAGACAGACACAGAGAGGCAGACAGACAGGCAGACACAGAGAGGCAGACAGACAGACAGACAGTCAGACAGACAAACAGAGACAGACACAGAGGCAGACAGACAGACAAACAGAGACAGACACAGAGGCAGACAGACAGAAACTCAGACAATCAGACAGACAGTCAGACAGACAGAAAGACAGACAGTCAGACAGACAGAAAGTCAGACAGACAGAGACAGTCAGACAGAGAGTCAGACAGACAGAAAGTCAGACAGACAGAAAGTCAGACAGACAGACAGACAGAAAGTCAGACAGACAGACAGAGAGTCAGACAGACAGAAAGTCAGACAGACACAGAGAGACAGACAGACAGACAGACAGACAGAAAGTCAGACAGACAGACAGACAGAAAGTCAGACAGACAGACAGACACACACAGAGAGACAGACAGACAGACAGACAGAAAGTCAGACAGACAGACACAGAGAGACAGACAGACAGACAGACAGACAGACAGAAAGTCAGACAGACAGACAGGAAGTCAGACAGACAGAAAGTCAGACAGACAGACAGACACACACAGAGAGACAGACAGACAGAAAGTCAGACAGACAGATAGACAGACACAGAGAGACAGACAGACAGACAGACAGAAAGTCAGACAGACAGACAGGAAGTCAGACAGACAGACAGGAAGTCAGACAGACAGACAGACACACACACACACACACACACAGAGAGAGACAGACAGCTCTTTGAATGGCATGTTTTCATTCAGGTAAAAAACATTCCACTCCTTTCATTTCCCCGCAGTGGATTCCTTCCCTCTGGGCATAAAAACACACAGAGTGTAATTTTACTCCTGCACACAGTGCTGTTCATGTGTGTGTTTATAGCGTGTGGTTTTACCAAGCGCGCAACCGTAAATAACGCGTGCGTGCGCTGTCACAGATGCGGCAGTTCAAAACAGATTCTGCCACGTTGTGTGTCGCAACACATTTAAAACGCACAAAACACAAACAGCCTCATTATGATATAATACTGGGCCACACACATACAGTGGATTCACATTCACAAATAAGAAGAAGATATGGAGTTTTTTTATTTTACTTCTTTAATATGACATACTTCTGAGTGAAACGTAGTAATATTCAACAAGAAATAAAAATGTAGGACCCTAGCTAACATTCTCAACTTTTTGAAAATTTAGAAATAACATTTTCATAACTTAATGGGAGCATTAGAAAAATGTTCTTAGAATAAATTTTTTGCCGGGACAGGTTTTGGTTTTATTCATCAGGAATCATTGTTATTGTTAAATAAAACAAAAACTAATACAGGTGAAACTCGAAAAATTAGAATATCGTGCAAAAGTTCATTTATTTCAGTAATTCAACTTAAAAGGTGGAACTAATATATTATATAGACTCATTACATGGAAAGCGAGATATTTCAAGCCTTTATTTGTTATAATTTTGATGATTATGGCTTACAGCTTATGAAAACTCCAAATTCAAAATTAGAATATTGTGAAAAGGTTTTCATATCTGTAATCCATAATCATTAAAATTATAACAAATAAAGGCTTGAAATATCTCACTTTGCATGTAATGAGTCTATATAATATATAAGTTCCACCTTTTAAGTTGAATTACTGAAATAAATGAACTTTTGCACGATATTCTAATTTTTCGAGTTTCACCTGTATATATATAAAGCATTTTCAGTAACCGAAATAAAGCTAAAATAAAATATAAATATTAAATGAAAATCTTAAAAAACTTAAATGAAAATTAGAAATGTTGGAAACTTGGCAACTAACTGAAATAAATAAGTTGAAGTACTAAAATTACCAACAAAATCTAACTAAAATTAAAATAATTTAATTAATAATATTAATACATTATTAATAATAATAATTGAATTTAAAAATTCAAATAAATTTACCACTAAAATGACCAATTAAAAAAATGAAAGCTAATAATAAATATATATAAATTTATAAAATATTATATTATAAATATTTTATAAATAATGTGCATTACCTGCAAAGATGTAGACACATGACAGGAAGTGATGTCATTCACGGAGTGTGTTCCAGCACTGCTGTAAGTGGATGGGCACTGAGGTGAGTGGGCGGGGTCTTTTCTGCCGTAGAAAGCCGATTGGACGGTGATGGAGGTTCTGGGCGGGCAGCGGACAGTCAGGAATTCTCCGTCACACGCCTGTTCAGTGTAATTCCTCAGCACACGGGACAGATAACCTTCCATTGAAAGAAAACACAGCTGTTATTATCTTTCACTGTAAACTATCATCTTCTCACATATCTCATTTTCAAATTCTGAAAAAAACAAAACATGAGTGTGATTTGTCTGTGCAATCCGTCAATGCTAGAGTGTTGCTAAGGTGTTCTGACCCACTCAATAAATTATTCAGTACGAGAAAGAAAAATTAACCACAAAAATACTGTTAAATGAGTGCTTTTACTTTCTGTTTAAGTAGGTTCAACAAAGAAAGTGTTTCATCCTAACAGTCCAGCTTCACAACGGAAAGAAGCGATTTACACAAACGCTTCCGTGCCGAGTGAGTGATGTCAGCTCATCAAAGGAATAATGGACACACAGACACACCAAGCACTAAACATTACCTCAATATACACAACCAGCCCAGACCTGTAGGGATCAGACCACCAAAGGCTCAACACACACACACACGTTGGGTTTCCATGTCTTATGGGGACTTTCCAGAGACAAAATGATTTTTATACCGTTTAAACTGTATATTCTCTCCCCTTACACTAACCCGACCCCTAAACCTGCCCATCACACAAAACTTTCTGCATTTCTACATTATTCTAAAAAGTAGTATGATTTATATGCTGTTTTTCTCATGGGGACCCAAAAATTTCTCCCCTCAAGGATTTCAGATATTGCCATATTGCGATCTTTGTGGGGACATTTTGTCCCAATAATGTAGGGATTACCAGGACCACACACACACACACACACACACACACACAAAATCAAGGCTCCTTCATCCTCTATTAATCTTAATGAGCTCCATTTGTCACGGTCACTGCATTTAGACACAGTTACAGTTACAACACCACAGAACTCAGGGGGCGGGGCTTATGACATCAGGAAACACACATTTAACTATTCAAAGCTTGTTATTCATCAGAGAGGAAGACGCAGAGAGTGACTCTTTATTCTTTATTCCTAAAATTCATTGTGTTCATCTCAATCAGAGACGCTAGTCACAAATGTGAGCTTAAAGTCTTTTTTTTTATGGAATTGGGATGAAAATTTGTATGGAATTTTGTTTTATATGGACCCTTCTGTGTAGACGCGTTTACTGGCATGAGGGCAGGGCAACCTGTCAATCACATGAGATGGACCAATAGCAAACCACAGCCATTCAACAATTCAATCAGTTTCTGATGGACAAAATCAAGTCCCGCCCTACTTTTTGTTGTTTTGTTCGAGAATCTGTTTCACTCGGATATCCGTCACACTAGGGAAGAAAACGCTCGCAACTTCCATTTCATGCTGACTTTAACATGAAAACGTTTTTTTTTTTTTTTTTTTTTAACAGACTGAATTTTCTTTCAAATCTGACATTGTCGCGATATCATGTTAATGATAACATTCACATCAAATAATAAAATACTATTTATAACACATGGCGAGAGCTTTTCGTTAAGATTCCCTTTCCCAATGGGAGTTTCCTGGTAATTGCATGCCTTTTTATTATAAAATATAATAGATTAATAGCAATCAATTATATTTTAAAGAAAGTAAAAGTATGGTCACCATGATTTAATGTGTTGTAATCAGCCTGATAAATACCAAAAATAACAAAGACACTCAAATGCATGATAAAATAATGAAATAATAATGTTGAAAGCGTGGTGTGATACAGAAGGCCTGTTCTCCTGCTCATGAAAGGAATGCTGTACAATCCACTCGGGATTCCTCGGAGGGCTTTAGGCTTTCCGAACACAATCCCTCCTGCTATTGTTCTCGGAAAGAAGCCAACATTCCAGCCGCTGATTGACAGCTCCTTTCACCAATCAGGGCTCAAATGACAGACAGCACCTGTGTGGGATCTCCAATCAGAGAACGGCCTCTAGGCCACTGATCACACCAATATAAAGCGCTTCAAAGCAGCTCAGGTGCAGGTTTACCTGAACACAACATACAATAAACAGAAGACAAGAATAAAACCAGGTCAAAACAGACAGAAAGAGCCAGAGCTGCAGGGAAGAGTGCAACAGTCGGGTTCCGGAAGTAAAAAACCTGTTCATTTTCTCCATAGGGAAATTGATTTTAAACAGTAACTTATAAACCTTTAACGACCGACCTACTGTATGCTACGAGGTTGTTAATCGATAGCATTTGCTTCTGTTAAAGCCGTCAGCCCGCGTTATTTCAGCTTAGTTTTAAAATAATAGGGTTTAACAGCAGAATTTGTGGTGAAAAACTACATTTCCCAAGATGCCGTACAGAAAAATTCCACCAATCAGAGTCGAAACAAGCAACACACGCCAAAAAGATCTTGTTAGCCCCGCCCACTAATCAACATTTGTAAATTAGTAGTTTTGTTTCGCCATCGTTTTTAATTCGATTATGCTGTTTGCAATGCCTCATGGGATTGTAGTTCTTTCACTCACTAAAGCCGTTAAGTTCACAGTTTTGTACCTTTGTCTTTTAGTCTGATTTTCAAATACTTTTTTGCTTCATATCAAAGTTTGTAGTGTTGTGATTCATCTCGTAGCTGATTGGCTTGGTTCATGGCTTATAACGCTTTTTTAGAAGACTTTTAAAAAATCAGGGGAAAAACTAATGGAAAAAATACTTCAGGGAGTGGGCACTAATGCACTCTATTATGATTCCTCTGAAAAATTAAAACAATTCAAACTGACAGATTCAAAAGAGTGTTTGAAGTGGCATACTTCAAAGAGGCCACTTAAAAAAAAAACTATTGTTTGAAATGTTTAGCATGATGCACACTATCTATATAGTTTGTTATATCTATGTACTTACTATGTGCAGTAAGTCATACTCTAGTATTTCATTCTAGACACTATGGCTGTGTTTGGAATTAAATACTAGTACACTGCTAATGGCAAACGACATATTGTAGTATACACTGAATACTGCCTAGTGTTATTGTAGTATTGTTTAAAGCTGCAGTCCGTAGTTTTTCCTCTTTGTCGCCATCTCTGTTTGAAATCTGCAATTGCAGTTATTCGCGGAATTATCAACTTTACGTGGGTTGTGCCTCGACACGGCACAGCGCGGATGAACACAATGTTTGAGGAGAATGTGCGGCTGTCAGTCACCGCGCCGGTGTGGATACTGGCATTCGCAATCACAGATTACACTTTTTGGAAGTATGACCAACATAAGAATTTTCACCGGAAAATGTCTGAACAAGTAAGAAACATCCACTTTTGTTCTGACCAACTAAAGGGAAAAAAGCATTGCAGTAAATCGCGCTGATTAAATCAAACGATCGCTTATCATACCACGTCAAACCGTGCAAAATATACTTTTTTCTCAAATTGTTAATGTTAACAACGTCAGCATTGCGTGACTACATTCAATGGGTATTAGAGCTACCTGTAGTTCAGTTTCCATTTCTGTGCAGTCTAACTTCTAATTGTCATACCAATAAATGAATGTTCCTTAGAACGGGTTCTTTTTGAAATACAAACACACGTATCTGTTATCAGATGCAAATTTATTGCATTAATCAATATTCCGAGGCACGGAATAAAAGCCGTCTCTGCGTCCGTTTTGAACCCCTTCAAGAGTTCACGCCACCTTTCAAAAGCCCTTCCGATATCCCTGTTTTCGCATGGGTCCGGTTGCAGTCTCTTTTTTTCTGTAAAGTCTGTAAACTCCGAAAGTCTTTTGCATTTTACAGCGGGTGAATCTGTTGTCACTGGTGATTGTCGTTTGAACCTTTCTGGATCCGCCATCAAATTGATAAGTTTAATTATATCAAGTGCTGTGAGAAAAGGCTAAAAATCTCCACCTCCAGCATCCTCACACTCGATATAGCCTACTAGCCGAGACTCTTCTTAATGTGTACAGATGTGTGTGTACAGATGTGTGTGTGCAGATGTGGCGTAATGACTCAAAGACATGCTCGAATCTCCCGTGGAAATCCACCAGTACCACTGGAATTAAAAACATTATTACAAGCTTACTGCTTTGAATCGAGCTAAGGCAAGCAGAGAGTTATGAACACTGGCTGGTTATGTATTTTCTCAAATATATATTTTGGATACTTTTTAACCCAAAAAAGCTACGGACTGCAGCTTTAAATACAATTAAAGTATTTATTAATATTTTGAATTAGCTTTTACTTATATTTTCAGTTTGTTTTAGTAATTTTGTTTAATTTTGTAATTTTTATTAGTTTTCTTTTTCATTTCATATTTCTATTTATCTATTTAACCAGCTAACTGTCACACCTTACACTTAAAAATTAAAGTGTAAGAAAGTTGTAGAAGTCAAAGTTTACTGTTGAGTAAACTGAACTAAAAATTCACTGAACTAAATGTTTTTAATTTCATGACGAATATATATTTTACAAAATAATTTTGACTAGAAAATCAAAGCCATATGTCTAACCAAGTAATGTTCTAAATTTGAAGTTGATATCATACAAATTTAACCTGCTAAAAGGTTTAAAAGTGCTGTTTTCATGATAACACAATGTTCTATTTCAAAACGGGTTTCACAGGATGAATTTTGAGTCTTTCGAATGATATAACTAATTTATGATTGCTAAAATATGTGATAGGGAAAAAAGACAATAAAAAAAGTGCCAAGTGACATTGATAGTTCACAGGCCAATTTATATTTATTTGTTTTAATATTAGTTGTTTTAACACTTCATCTCAAATTTATTTTTATTTCAGTTAATTGGCAATGCAACTTTTCTAATTTTAAGTATTTTATGTTTAAGTTTTTCAAGTTTTTTCCCATTTAATATTTATTTTTTAGTCTCTTTCAGCTATATTTCAATTAATTAAAAAAAAAATTTGTTTTAGCTTTAGTTAACAATAACTCAAATACTGTATGGGAAGTAATATGTAGAATGTAAAAAACAGTAGTACTGTTGTAACATGACATCACTAATGCAATGTTTTAAATAATTGTGTTTAATCTAATTTTTGGAATTCATGTCAAATATGTTACAAATCATAGTGGAAATAGATGTAGGTCACGCTGAGTGCATTGCATTGTG